AAGTTCCATCACAAGATAGCGATGAAGAGGAAGAAACGATTACCGTTTTTGAGCACACGTACGATGAACTCAAGAACCAAGATTGCATTGAAAACGATAATCCCATCACGGATAGTATGGAAGAAATTTTTACTTGTGATATTTCGATCGGTCTTGAAGACAATTAACGCAGAACACTTGGTCTATCGCGAAGGGCGTATCGGAAGACAATCCATTAAATTTTGGAATAGTGCGTGTGGATTAGGCCTACTTGGGATACCACGATAAAAAAACAAACGCGCCACGTACTCTACCTCATGGTGGTGTGGAAATGAGTTTTTGGAAAAATTAATCTTGAAGTAGATTTTGCGGCGCCCGTACGCTAAAACTATTAATTTTACAAGAAAAAGGTACTTACATAAATTATAGGAAATTTTCTCTAATTTAATTTATTATATAGATATATTTATCGTAAAATGAGTCGGAAAGGAGATATGGTCAAAAAACTGTTTTTTGACACCATTTTTCCAAGATGGTGGCTCGAGCGAACAAGATACGAGGTCGCAAAGTTGAAATTCGTAAAGAGCACCTCGAAATCTATATGAATACCAATTTTCAACAATCCCGCACTATTTTCCAAGCAAAACTACCAAATGACTGGGCTAATATTGGTATGCCGCAATCATGGTTAAAAATAAAGCCGGAGTTGATTGGCTATCAGGGTTTATAAAACGCAACCAATCTTTATCCATACGTACACCTGAAGCTACGAGCCTAAGTAGACCGACGTCGTTCAATAAATGCAATGTTAATAATTTTTTTTCTAAATTGAAGGACGTGTTAGATCGATATAAATTTTCCTCTTCACAAATTTGGAACGTCGATGAAACAGGCGTTACTACAGTACAAAAACCAAGAAAAATATTGGCACCAAAAGGTTCGAAGCAAGTTGGCTCCATAACATCAGCAGAAAGGGGAGTTCTTGTGACTCTTTGTGTAGCAGTAAACGCAGCAGGAAACTCGATGACATGCATGTTCATCTTTCCAAGAATTAAATATCGGGACCATTTTGTTCGCGATGGACCTGCAGATTGCATCGGTGCTGGCAACAAGAGTGGCTGGATGACTGGGGTTGAGTTCAGAATTTTTATGCAACATTTTATCAAGAGTGTAAAACCATGTCCATCAAATCCTGCGCTACTATTACTGGACAATCATTCATCACATTTGGATATAGAAGTTGTTGAGATGGCTAAAGACAACAATGTGGTGTTGCTGTCCTATCCACCACATTGTTCTCATAAGCTTCAGCCGTTGTATGTTGGGGTATATGGACCATTTAAAAATTATTATGCTAGTCAACAAGATGCTTGGATGCGAAATCATCCGGGTAAAACCATGACTATCTACAATATTCCATCAATAGTGAGTAAAGAACCTAGAACAAGTATATGATACAATACCATCACATGATGTAAAACTAATAATAGGCGATATGAACGCAAAAATTGGCAAAGAGTTAGAATACCTAGGAACCATAGGTAAACATAGCTTACATAACAATACGAACAACAATGGGGAAATGCTGATAGACTTTGCCTCAAGCAAAGGCATGACTATAAGCTCAACAATGTTCCCTCATC